ATAACTCTGCATAGACAAAGGCCTTAACAACCTGATCTGTTTTATCAGCAGATACTCAGTTCTGTCCATCACAGCTTACAATGCCTTGTTGTATTTCTGCCTTTGATCTGGATAAAAAAGGGAAAAAAAAAAAGACTCCAACTTTGTGACTTCTGCTATATGGATATCTGGAACATCTATGGAATCACCTCTGCTTTATTTGCTTTGGCATCTGTGTGGAAAATGGAAGACTGGCATTTGCTATGGGATAATGTTATTTCTTCTTAGTTGAGGTCAAGCTAAAGGAAAAATCAATTGGCATCTTATGTAATCCTCTTTTTTGAAAAACAGTCAGATCAGATGGTATCCAATGTAACATTTTAAAGAATAATGTAATTATTTGATGAAAGATAAGGAACCAGGTGTTTTCCCTTGGGAGGCATACAGGGGAGTAAAGGCATTGCTACCGTGCAAACTTTTTTATATTGAAAGGAGCTTCAGTATCAACTGGACTGAAAAGTAAAGGTCTTGCTCACATTTCCCAGAATTGCATAACTTTATGCACAGCTAGGATTCCCTAACCTCACCTTGCCATCGTTTCTCTTGATGCCACTACTACAAGAAATCCCTGGCTAGCTTTTTGATAATGCAGGCGCATGGTTGGGTATATTAAAGTGCAGAATAGTTTCTAGGGCTGTTTCGAAAATAGGGCTATAATACAGTGGTATAATACAGTCATCTCAAATCTGATGCGGGTTGGAATGATGGGAGTTGAAACTCCACACATCTGGATGGCATTAGTTTAGGGATGCCCAAGATACGGCAGAAGGTAGATATGGAGGATGTAGAAGTTACAACATGATGTTTTATCAACACTTACTGATCCTTGTCCTCCTCTTTGTCTTCTGTTTATCCTTTCCCCAAACCCATCGTACATTTTATCAGTTAATACCCCACCATTCAAGCTGAAAAGAGTTCCATATTTCATTGTACACCCAAGCAGGCATAGCAAATTCCTGAAGGAAAGCCTATATTTAGTTGTAACAAAATTGCTGCTGTTGAACATCTGTATATTGTTACAGGTGCAATAGGGTCATGCAGCAATGTTGAATATTTATTACTGATGTGAAATAGGACACGTTTGAGTAAACTCTGGAGAAAAATCAGCAAAACTGGAGATGAGAACCAATTACTGGTTGATCGGATAGTTGAATATGGAATATTGAGAATAGCCATCCTTTCATTTAGGAGTGACAAGTATACTACATGGCTGAGAAAAACGTACAACATATAGACGTGGAAGGATTAGGATGTTCATGTCAAGTTATTTTTATTATAAGATCTTATGATGAGATAAATTCAAAACTGTTGTAAAAATGAGGAGGGGATATTTTAAATCACATGAAGGAGGCCATGAATACAAAGCTCCTAAATGTTTTGTAATTGTAATTTTATTTTAAAGATTTGACACTTATTTTTCTAATTGTTTCCAGAATCATTTTAAATGTGTTTGGCTCACATTTCTTTTTTAAGACACCCTTTTGCAATCTAGAAAGATGTTGATCTTGTTTCAAAATCTAAACTAAAATCAGAAATGTGAATAGTGGTGAAGTTGGACTCTATTATGACATTTTCA